TGTGGACTACCGGGATTTGAATAGGGCCAGCCCTAAAGATGATTTTCCGCTACCGCATATCGACATTTTGATTGATAACACGGCTCAGCACAAAGTGTTTTCCTTCATGGATGGATTCTCGGGCTACAACCAGATTAAAATGGCCCCCGAGGACATGGAGAAAACAACCTTTGTTACGCAATGGGGTACATTCTGCTACAAGGTGATGTCGTTCGGACTGAAGAACGCAGGGGCAACTTATCAGCGCGCCATGGTAGCTTTGTTTCATGACATGATACATCATGAGATCTAAGTTTACGTAGACGACATGATAGCTCGATCACAAACGGAAGAGGAACACCTTAAACATTTGCAGAAGGTGTTTGCCAGGTTGAAGGAGTAAAAACTCAGGCTGAATCCAAGTAAGTGCACTTTTGGAGTTAGGTCTGGTAAACTTCTAGGATTTATTGTCAGCAACAAAGGCATTGAGGTCGATCCAGAAAAAGTAAAGGCTATACAAGAAATGCCTGCCCCCCGTACTGAAAAGGAGGTTAGAGGATTCTTGGGGCGCTTGAACTATATTGCCAGATTCATCTCTCATCTGACGTCTACCAGTGAGCCAATTTTCAAACTATTGAAGAAAGATCAGGTAGTCGAATGGAACGCGATTGCCAAGCTGCTTTTGATAAGATCAAGGAGTATTTGCTAGAACCTCCTATTCTGATGCCACCCGTCGAAGGAAGGCCGCTGATCATGTATCTGACCGTTTTGGACAACTCAATGGAGTGTGTATTGGGTCAGCATGACGAGTCTGGTCGAAAAGAGCATGCCATTTATTACCTTAGCAAAAAGTTTATCGACTGTGAGACTCGCTACTCACTGCTCAAGAAAACTTGCTACGCTTTGGTATGGGCTGCTCGCCGACTAAGGCAGTATATGTTGACTCATACCACTCTGTTGATTTCCAAAATGGATCCTATCAAGTATATCTTCGAGAAGCCTGCTTTATCTGGAAGAATCGCTAGATGGCAAATGATCCTGAATGAGTATGACATCCAGTATACTACCCAAAAATCTATAAAGGGGAGTGTACTAGCTGACCATCTAGCTCATCAAGCTATCGAAGATTATCAATCCATGAGATTCGACTTCCCGGACGAGGACATCATGACTTTGGACAACATTGAAGGTAACGGACCGTATGACGGACCTGAAAATGGATCTCGATGGACCCTGTACTTTGATGGTGCTTCAAATTCACTTGGAAACGGTATCGGTGTGGTACTCATTTCCCCGGAAGGTTGTCACACACCTTTCACGGCCCGACTTTGCTTCAGCTGTACCAACAACATGGCTGAATATGAAGCTTGCATTTTTGGTCTCAAGGCTGCTATAGACCTGGGGATCAAATCTTTGATCGTATTTGGGGACTCGGCTTTGGTTATCAGTCAAATCAAAGGAGAGTGGGATACCAAGCATCCTAATCTTATCCCATACAAAGAACATGTCCTAACATTGTTGCCTCATTTCGAGCAGATCACCTTCGAGCATTTCCCGTGAGAAGAAAATCAGCTAGCAGATGCTCTGGCAACAATGTCCTCCATGTTTAAACTTAACTGGGATAACGAGGCTCCCCAAATCACCATCGAGCGAATGGATAAACCCGCGCATTGTCATGAGATTAATACCGAAGAAGTAGTGGAACAACCCTGGTTTCACGAAATCAAAAGGTATCTCCAGACTAGAGAATATCCCGAAGGAGCTTCCGTAAATGACAAAAAGTTCCTAAGGAGATTTGCTGCCAAGTTCTTCCTGAGCAACGACATCCTATATAAACGCAGCCATGATTGTGTTTTACTCCGATGTGTACACAAAGCTGAAGCAGAGTTGATCATGACTGAGATACACAGTGGTACATTTGGCACCCACTTGAGCGGGCATACGATGGCTAAGAAGATTCTAAGGGCAGGCTATTACTGGTCTACCATGGAAGCTGATTGCCATCAACATTCCCGTACTTGCCACAAATGTCAAGTCTATGCTGACAAGATTCATATTCCTCCTGTTCCTCTCAATGTTCTGACAACTCCTTGGCCATTCGCAATTGGGGCATTGACAGGATTGGAGAGATCAAGCCCACAGCGTCCAATGGACATCGCTTCATCCTGGTTGTTATTGACTATTTCACCAAATGGGTCGAAGCAGCTTCCTTAGCCTCTGTTACAAAGAATGTGGTTGCCCGCTTCATCAAGCAAAACCTCATATGCCGGTATGGTGTCCCCGACAGGATCATCACGGACAACGGTACAAATCTGAATAATACTATGATCACCGCTCTATGCGAACAGTTCATGATTTATCATCACAATTCATCTCCCTATCGGCCAAAGATGAACGGTGTTGTTGAAGCTGCGAACAAAAACATTAAGAAGATCATTCAGAAAATGACAGTTACCTACAAGGACTGGCATGAGATGCTACCGTTTGCTCTGCATGGATACCGTACCACGGCACGTACTTCAACAGGGGCAACCCCATTTTCCTTGGTATATGGCATGGAAGATGTCCTGCCCGTGGAAGTTTAGATTCCTTCTTTAAGGATTATGAAGGACTCTGGTTTGAGTGAAAACGATTGGATTCAGACCTGACTTGATCAACTCAATTTGATCAACGAGAAGCGACTCACTACTGTGTGCCATGGTCAGACGTACCAAAAACGGGTGATCAAGGCTTTCAACAAGAAAGTCAGACGTCAAGTATATCAAGTCGGAGATCTCGTAATCAAGCGGATTATCTTGCCGCAAAGTGATCCCAGGGGCAAATGGACTCCTACTTACGAAGGACCATTTGTAATCAAGAGCATCTTTTCTGGTGGTGCAATGATTCTGGCCACCATGGACGGTGACGATTTGCCAACCCTGCGAACGCGACATAGTCAAAAGATACTACGCATAAAATAACCCGACAAGCCGAAAACCCGAAAGGGCGGCTTGGGAAAAAATGGGCATCCCGGTGAACCGAAAACCCGAAAGGGCGGTTCAGGCAAAAATTAGGGATAAAACAAAAAAATCTGTACACCCGGCAAGTCGAAAACCCGAAAGGGCGGCTTGGGCAAAAAGGGGTTTCCCGGTGGATTGAAAACCCGAAAGGGCGATCCAGGCAAAAGTTAGGGAATTAAAGCGCATGACTATGTCTCGTCGGATCACTTTAAAGAACAATCTCTTCACCAACAAGCTCCAAGCTTCTGATCAATCCAATCATCGGCGGACGAAGCATTGAATGGACAGGATATTCATAGTTGTGAAGGCTATAGCAGAATGGGGATCCCATGGAATTGTTTCACATAGCCATCTTTCTTTTTGTATAAATTTTTCAATTTTTACGACAACATCCTCTTACTAGGATGCCTGTCTCATTTGTACAAAGACACTCATAAAAAGTTAATACAAATACTTTTCCAAACACAGAAAGTTGCATTGTCTTCCTTTTTGCTTTTCTACACTTATGTTTTATTTGAGAAACGTCCAATGTTTTGTTAAATAGGCATATGCATTTGAACATAATCATCTCCTTACAAATCAAGAAAGATGATTACTCATAGGTTGAAGGTACGGATAGATATCTTGATGCCCTTTCAGAAGGAATCCCCCGCAGTTCTAAACTCCAAATTCCTCAACGAGGTTCAAATCCAGAGCTTAATTCCCCAAACAGAGTTAAACTTCAGGATCCTCAGCAGAGCAAAAGCTTTCTCAAAACTGATTTCCCCAGCCAGAGAGCATTCCAAAACTCAATTCCCCTCAGAGTTAAGTTCCAGTATCCCCAGTGGAGCCTTAAAAATCTGAAAATCCTATCCCCAGCGGAGCTAAAACTTCCAACTATCAATCCCCAGCGGAACCAGACTAGTGAACCTTCTTCCCACAGAGATGCTTCCCATCAGATTGAAAATTCTCAATCTTTTACTCCTCCAGCATGAGTCTCCCAGGTTCTGGACTCCCCAGTAGAGATCATCAGAATTCTCATTTCCCGCAGGTCACCAAGGATTTTTTATCCCCAGCAGTGGTCCTAGGATCCCTCAACAACGGAAGATCTGGTTCCCCAAGCAATCAGCAGTCAATAAGGATTTCCCACCCTCAGTAACCAAAGGATTTTTCTATCCCCAGCTTCGGTTATGGGTTTATTTCCCCAACATTTGTCAAGGATTTATTCTCCAAAACAAATTACATTTCAAATTGATCGGTCGTTTAAGAGTTCCTTCATCACCTGTTGGAAGTTACAGTCGTCAAAGATCAAATTCTCACAAAGTTCAAGTTATGAAGCCCGGATTTGACCGGATAGTCACTACAAGAAAAATGATAGATTGGGACGGTTATTTTGGCTGATTACGACGGTTAAAACCGTCGCAATTTACAATCTACGACGGTAGAAGTACCGTCGCAGAATCGTGCGTCCCCAGCCTATTTCGCGACGGTTGCAAAAACTGTCACGCACAACAGATGGCGACGGTTATATACCGTCGTGAATTTGACTTTATTTTTTGTTTTTGTTGTTGTTTGCGACGGTTATATACCGTCGTGAACTTGACTTTATTTTTTGTTGTTGTTGTTTGCGACGGTTATATACCGTCGTGAATTTGACTTTAACCGTCGTAATCTAATTTATAAATTTCAAATAATATTTTTATTTAAATTATTATTTAGTAAAATAATTTTAAATATAATATTATTTTACTATAATATTTTACAAATAGAGGTCAAGCCAATAAGAGACAAGTGGGTTTAATGGTTGAGTGTTCTTGGTGATACCTCCAAAGAATTCTTATTTTATAAAATTTAAGTAGTAAGAATTATTATTAATCTTTTCTACAAAATTTGATTTATTATTTTAATGATTAAACTTTGGTTGAATAAAATATAATGCTCATTCAACATTCCAATTAATAACAAAGGAAAGGTAACTCAACATTCTTCATTTAATTTATATTATACTTAATTAAGGAAAATAAGTTATTAATCTTCATCTATTTAAATGTCAATCCCCATCAATGACAGTTCTTGGCAAAGTAAATCAACATTCTTGAAATGTACACCCTTGATCCCAACTTCAGTTGCTGCCTCCACATTTTTTGGCCTGAGAACACAATAACTACATAATTAAATCACACACACAAATGACCAACATTGCATAAAAGCACAAGTATATGTATTATTCATAAATTAAAACCTGTCATCTATGAAAATACAATATGCTGGATCAACTTTAAGATGCTTCAGAGCGTCTATATAAAATTCAGTATCTGGTTTCCTTTTTCCTGAAAAACAATTAAATCAAGTTATTATGTTAAATAAAAGTTATTTTGACATGAAGATCCTAGTCTTCTAAAAAAATTAGTGCAGTTTAATTATGTGGTTAACATAGCTCAGCGTATGTAAATGTACTTAAATATAGATTAAATCAGATGATTAATAAATATATACAATGTATTTAAATTTGATATTAGTTTGTGTGTCAAAATAAGATGGCTCATGATATTCAAATTTACTTGAAAGGATAATTTTAGAGTGACAATCCTTAAATGATTAAGTCTTTTTTTTTTCCTGCTAGAATATATATGATGATAATACATAAAAATATTATGAGAGATATTATGTGTTATACCATGTGCACAAGAACAAAATGTCCAAGATAAATATTTTGATAGCTTTAATTTGTCTTCGACCAACTGATACCTACAATACAGTACAATCTGTAGAATGCCATGAAAAGAAAAACATAAATTATAAGATATTATCCAAAAAATTGAACTAAATGCTCACAGCTCAAGTGAAAACTCTAAACTAAACAAAAAGATGCAAAGGGATAAGTATATCATCTAAATCCTAACAGGTGCACTGAATGACATCAAAGTATTATGACAGATCATGAAGAAAGGTGGCAAACCTTGTTTTCAGAAGCTTCCAAACGATCATTACCACCCTTGTTGGCATCACAGTTAACAATGACAGAAAGGAATTGAAACAGACAAAGAAGCCAACATCAATAAGCTGCAAATGAATTCAGCACTTGAGATACCATGACATAAAAAGTAGAATGCATAAACAGAAATGCACAAACACAATTCTTAAGTAACTATTTCACAGTAAATGAATAGCTTCGGGTTACATCCTTCCCCCAAAACGCCTACATTATAACAGCGTAGTTTGGACCGTAACCCATTAGAATTGCACCAATGATGAAGAGTATAGAGGCTAAGAAGATTGTGTATCGACGACCAATGACATCAGAAGTTCTTCCAGCTGTTAAGGATCCAACTAATGCACATACATTTAAGATTCCTGCTAGAATTTCTTGTTGTGTGTCACTGATTCCCAAATCCTCTTTTATGAAAATCATTGCTCCACTCATAACACCGGTATCTGAAATTAATCATCAATGTAGAATAGTTATTATAAAAAAATGACTCGATATAAATGATTGAATAATACATACATGACTACTAAATTCACGAATAGTCAATTAGTAGTCACACACCTTACATTTTACATAAAATATAATAAGATATATTAGAAAACCTCTCTTCAATTTTGTTGGATAGGGAAATGAAATTAAAAAAAAGTGAAAAAGATTAGAGAATGTGATAATATTACCATAGCCAGAGACAATGGAAACCATTGAAGCAACAAGGGCACAAGCCAAAGCATATTTGTTCAATGATGTGTTTTGAACTTCTTTGTCACCTTGATCAATTATCATGATGATGATGATATTGTTAATGGTTTTCGGCAGTTTCCTCCGCGGCTCATAATGAATCGACAACGCATCTTCTTCGACGCTTCACCATGAAGAGTAACAATCCGCATCCTAAACCTTTATGCGTCATCGATCGTTTTCATCAACTGCAAACAGAAACAGAATCGACCGGATTCCGCCGAACTCATAAAAGAAGATATGGAAAAACAAGTAAGAAAGAAGAAGTAACGATACCTTTGAATCTTTCGTCGCCGAGAATCATCTTTACAACCGTCTTTGAATCCGTTGAGATCGGTTGTCTAACACTCTTCTTCCCATCAGTTCATGGTGTCGAGATGCAATTCTTGCTTCGCTGGGGTTTGCGTTTGAGCGTAGATAAAAGGAATGAAATGTCTGCTTAGATGAAAAGGGATGAAGCCCCGGGAATCGCCTGCTGAAACTCCTTCTCTGCCATTTAATTGCGTCTTGAAGCTCCTAAGGTTTCTACTGTTGATTAGATTTTGGAAGAACGAGGATTGATGAAAACCAAAGGCAGATTTGGAAGCGTGGCATCAAGACAAAGAGGACAAAGGGATAATTTCGAAGAATGGAAGCTTCACCATTCTAGGCGCAACATCGTACTTCTGGCGGTGGTTCTTTGCTTCAATCGGATAAAAAGCTTTTTCACAAAACCTAATCCTCTTTCAATTTTGTTTGTTACTCCTATTTTATTTTTTTATATTTTTATTTGTTGTATTTTGTTTATAATTTAATAATAAATATTAGTTGCTGAAAATATTATGATATTGTGTTGATATTATGATATTGTGTTGCTGAAAAAAAGTGGGAAAGTAAAAGAATAAAAAAAAGTAGCGATATTGTGTTGATAATCTAAGATCTTTTTTAGTACTAGACATTAGATAATATATTTTAGGGTTCATAATTTGTAAATCTAAATTTTAATTTCATGTTATATTTGAATGTGTTAATGATGGATATAAAATCAAATTTATATAAATCTCAAAAAAAAATTGTTTTACCGCGACGGGTGTTTTACCGTCGTGCCCATGAGAATTTTTAAAGGTTTTGGGTGCGACGGTTGTTTTACCGTCGTGAAATGAATTTTAGGACGGATAATTTTACCGTCGTGAAAGGTTTAAGGGTGCGACGGGTGCTTTACCGTCGTGATATGCCTTTTAGGACGGTTAATTTTACCGTCGTGACTAGTTGTTGGTGAAAAATCAATGTTAAAAGTGTTAAATGGGGGCCGACGGTTGTTTTACCGTCGTAATAATAATATTATGATGGTTAAATATACCGTCGCAAAATAAATATTAGGGACGGTTGGTGTCAACTGTCGTAAACACTGTCTCTATATGTCAATTACGACAGTTATCACATAACTGTCGCAATTTTTGTGTCGTTAAACACTAATTTTCTTGTAGTGAGTATCTTAATCTCTACAGCTATTGTGAAGCCCGGAGTACGACTGAATAACAATGCCAGACTACCGCCAAGCCTGGATTGCGACCAGATAGTGGTATCCCCTCAGAGCAAGCTATGAAGCCCGGATTCGACCGGATAATAGTTTAATCCCCAACAAGTTTCTGTGAAGCCTGGATTACGACCAGACAGCAGTCAAGAATACTACGAAGCCTAGAGTCGACCAGATAGTGGTATATCTTCAACACAAGCCGTGAAGCCCGGATTTGACCGGATAACAGCTTAGCAAGCTATTGTGAAGCCTGGATTACAACCAGATGACAATACAAGTTTTTGTGAAGCCTGGATTGCGACCAGACAGCAGTCAAGAATACTACGAAGCCTGGAGTCGACCAGATAGTGGTATATCTTCAACACAAGCCGTGAAGCCCAGATTTGACCGGATAACAGCTTAGCAAGCTACTGTGAAGCCTGGACTACGACCAGACGACAATACAAGTTTCTGTGAAAGCCTGGAGATCGACCAGATAACAGTTAAGCGTTAACAGAATGAAGACTCTCGTCCTGGAATCCCAAGTATATTGGCATACAACCCAAGCTCCTGATTCCCCAACAGCAGTCCCAGGACTTCTCATTTTCAACGATCAAAGGATTCTCAATCCCCTGCAGCAGTCAAGGATTTACTTTCCCCTGGCAGCAGTCAAAGATCTTGTTATCCAGGATCCGCCTTCCTCAGCAAGACATCTCATTAGCTTACATGCGCATTCATTACACTCATATCATAAACATTGATATAACATATATTGCATCATACATTTCATGCAACATAACTTTGTGTTTAGCTAACATTTTGTCCTTTTCAGGATAAGAATAAAAGGTTATCATTAACAATTATTCAAATACAGTTCTACATGGACTCATCATCAGGCAACCCTACACCGGTTCCTTCAACTTTAAGACTTTTGAAAACAGTTTACGGACGCTTCCTAACATGGATGCTGCTCTATTGCTTATTCAACTTCAAGACTTCTGAAAACAGTTTGCGGGTTCTCCAGACACGGATGTCAACCTATCGCTTGTTCAGACTCAACTTCTGAAAACAGTTTACGGATTCTCCAAACATGGATGTCGATCTATTGCTTGTTCAGAACCCCCCAGTTCAGAGATGTTCCAAAACATGGACACCTTTCTGATACTCATACATTCCAGATGGCATCTTTAAGCCCATCCCCCGACAAGGTTCTGTCACTTTCCCGATGGAATCTTTAATCCCATCTCCAAAATGGCATCTTTAAGCCCATTCCCACATCCATGTCTTGACGAGTGCAAATTTAAGGGCACTCTAGTGTCCAATCTTCTTTTACCTTCGAGACGCGAAAGGAAAACTTGCCAATCTAACTCTTCAGGTGCAAGAAGATTGAACAGGGGCAACTGTTGTACCCCAAAATTTTCCCTCTCATTTCATCAACATTTTCTCACCACAAGACCCTTGGAGCTCAAGATCAAGTTAGGGTTTGCTCTGCTCAAGACTCCTCCTTGCATTGTTGACCCAAATTAGGGTTTGAGTTTGCACAAAGATGTTTTGACCTAAAATGCCCAAAGTGACTTTCATGCTTCATGTTGGACTCACAAGTTTATCCATATCAAGTTTCAAGCCTTGATTCCAATCTTTGCCCAGTCAATTGGACAGTTGACCTAGAAATCAGTTGTATTGGGGAAAAAAGTCAACTGTGGCCAATTGACAGTCAAACTTCATGATATTTGACCCACATAAACATTTTGAACTCATATGAACCATTTGATCAAGTTTGGATCATAATTCCACAAGAAATTTGATCAGATCATCAAAAGGGCAAAATGGTCATTTTTAGGGTTTTGACTGCACAAAGGAAATTTTTTGACTGTTTGACCTAACCAATGGCAAACCAAGCTCACATATGGACTAAAGGACTCAATGGCATTGTCTTGACACATTCAACAAGTTCAAAAGATCCCAAATGCACAGGATGGGCAGATGAATTTTCCAGTCAACTGATCAAAATTTGACTGTATACTGAAAAGTCAAACTTTGACTTTTTTGTCAAAATCAAGTGCCAAGATTCATTTTTCATCAGGACATGTCAAATTATGAAACTTGTTCATCAAGAAACCCAAAATTGCAAATTAGGGTTTAGAATGAGAAAATTTCATAACTTAGAATTTTTCTAAGTTATGGAACTTCCTTGTTTTTTTTTCTAACTTTGTCCTATTTTTTCATCAAGATACAATTGGATTCAAACAAAACTCAAAACATGAAAGTTGTATTCCATTGAAAAATCTACAACTTTGATTCACAAAGTTTTCTCAAAAGAAGCTTGTAGCTCAAGTTATGATTTTTGGAATAAGGGTGCAAAACATTTTTAACTTAGAGAAATTTTGACCTATTCTAGGCATGATTTTTGTCCAACTTCTTGGCCATTTTTCACATGGTTCCACTTGGAGTTTCAATTTGCATTACAAAGATGGATCGTAGTACACATTCCAAGCTTTCCAAATTGTCCAAGAACTTCTCAAACACCCTTGTGGTTAGGGAGAATCGAATTTGAAAAGATGGGCAAAAGTCACTTTTGTTCATAACCAAATACATGTTCATACATTGGCATTTTTCAAATCAGCTTGTACAAGCTAGCTTACAGGCCTCAAAACCAGTCTCACACACCATAATTAAATGCCTAACCATTGTGCTAAGGTGTTATTTTGTTCATTTGGTCATTACATGCAAGATTAACCCTTAATTGGAAAAAGCATATTTGCCATTTTGATAAAGTAGTGCTTTATGTCAAATAACAAATCCAAGAGGCATGGGCCAGATCTTTGAGGCTAGCATTTGTACATAAATCACTCTGATCAAGAACAAGAGGTGCAGCATAGATAGAGAGGATATACAGGCCTGTATAAGCACTTGAGCTTACTTACTTCAAAAAGAAGCAAGATTGCATAACAACTCCAATCTCTCATTCCTGTAACAACCAGCCAAAGCAAACTTTGCAAACATATTTCACACACCCTAACTGACCTAAAGCACGACTGAACCACATCCCAAACCTCCTCATTCACAAAAACATCCTCTTGCTACAGAAACAGAGCAAGTTCTGCAACTTGACTTTCACAAACATTTCCACTCGTGCACTTTGGCCAAAAAGAGTTCAAACATGTTCCATATCATCCACTGAAGTTATCCCAAGCATTGAACTCAAGATGTAACATCCTTAACATCGTTTGCCATTTTTTCTTTCAAGCTGTGCAGGTGGACTTCCATAGCACGATACAGGCAGTTTCAGAGCAAGCCAAGCATAGGAGAAGCATCCTTGGACTTCAGGCAAGCTGTACCAAAGCTCAAACTCCATTGAAGATACCTCCATTACTGTACACGACTCAAGCTGAAACAGGTAAAAACATGAACTTCTATCTCTCAATATAGGAAGAGTTAGGCTTAGGTTTGTGAATGAAACATGTTCTCCTCATAGCCCTGAAGCCATCCATGTATTCACTTTTCATTTATATTGAGTATGCTGTAAGAATTTTGGCCATGAACATTGAAG